CATATTTTAAAATCACCTGTTTACTGTGATCTTATTGCATATACGTATATATATATATATATTTTTTTATTATTATCACACTGGCCGATTCCCACCAAGGCAGGGTGGCCCGAAAAAGAAAAACTTTCACCATCACTCACTCCATCACTGTCTTGCCAGAAGGGTGCTTTACACTACAGTTTTTAAACTGCAACATTAACACCCCTCCTTCAGAGTGCAGGCACTGTACTTCCCATCTCCAGGACTCAAGTCCGGCCTGCCGGTTTCCCTGAACCCCTTCATAAATGTTACTTTGCTCACACTCCAACAGCACGTCAAGTATTTAAAAACCATTTGTCTCCATTCACTCCTATCAAACACGCTCACGCATGCCTGCTGGAAGTCCAAGCCCCTCGCACACAAAACCTCCTTTACCCCCTCCCTCCAACCTTTCCTAGGCCGACCCCTACCCCGCCTTCCTTCCACTACAGACTGATACACTCTTGAAGTCACTCTGTTTCGCTCCATTCTCTCTACATGTCCGAACCACCTCAACAACCCTTCCTCAGCCCTCTGGACAACAGTTTTGGTAATCCCGCACCTCCTCCTAACTTCCAAAACTACGAATTCTCTGCATTATATTCACACCACACATTGCCCTCAGACATGACATCTCTACTGCCTCCAGCCTTCTCCTCGCTGCAACATTCATAACCCATGCTTCACACCCATATAAGGCGTTGGTAAAACTATACTCTCATACATTCCCCTCTTTGCCTCCAAGGACAAAGTTCTTTGTCTCCACAGACTCCTAAGTGCACCACTCACCCTTTTCCCCTCATCAATTCTATGATTCACCTCATCTTTCATTGACCCATCCGCTGACACGTCCACTCCCAAATATCTGAATATATTCACCTCCTCCATACTCTCTCCCTCCAATCTGAAATCCAATCTTTCATCACCTAATCTTTTTGTTATCCTCATAACCTTACTCTTTCCTGTATTCACTTTTAATTTTCTTCTTTTGCACACCCTACCAAATTCATCCACCAATCTCTGCAACTTCTCTTCAGAATCTCCCAAGAGCACAGTGTCATCAGCAAAGAGCAACTCTGACAACTCCCACTTTATGTGTGATTCTTTATCTTTTAACCCCACGCCTCTTGCCAAGACCCTCACATTTACTTCTCTTACAACCCCATCTATAAATATATTAAACAACCACGGTGACATCACACATCCTTGTCTAAGGCCTACTTTTACTGGGAAATAATTTCCCTCTTTCCTACATACTCTAACTTGAGCCTCACTATCCTCGTAAAAACTCTTCACTGCTTTCAGTAACCTACCTCCTACACCATACACCTGCAACATCTGCCACATTTCTCCCCTATCCACCCTGTCATATGCCTTTTCCAAATCCATAAATGCCACAAAGACCTCTTTAGCCTTATCTAAATTTACTGTTCACTTATATGTTTCACTGTAAACACCTGGTCCACACCCCCCCTACCTTTCCTAAGCCTCCTTGTTCATCTGCTATCCTATTCTCCGTCTTACTCTTAATTCTTTCAATAATAACTCTACCATACACTTTACCAGGTATACTCAACAGACTTATCCCCTATAATTTTTGCACTCTCTTTTGTCCCCTTTTGCCTTTATACAAAGGAACTATGCATGCTCTCTGCCAATCCCTTGGTACCTTACCCTCTTCCATACATTTATTAAATAATTGCACCAACCACTCCAAAACTATATCCCCACCTGCTTTTAACATTTCTATCTTTATCCCATCAATCCGGCTGCCTTACCCCGTTTCAAAATTTGTTGATAACATCTCGCCCACTCTCATTTGCTCTCTTTTTACATTGCTTCACCACTCTCTTAACCTCTCTCTTTTTCTACATATACTCTTCCCCCCTTGCATCACTTCTACTTTGTAAAAACTTCTCATATCTCTCTCTCTCTCTCTCTCTCTCTCTCTCTCTCTCTCTCTCTCTCTCTCTCTCTCTCTCTCTCTCTCTCTCTCTCTCTCTCTCTCTCTCTCTCTCTTTTCTTTTAACTCTCTCTAACTCTCTCTCTCTAACTCTCTCTCTCTAACTCTCTCTCTCTCTCTCTCTCTCTCTCTCTCTCTCTCTCTCTCTCTCTCTCTCTCTCTCTCTCTCTCTCTCTCTTTATATATATATATATATATTTTATATATATATATATATATATATGGAAATGGGAAGTACAATGCCTACACTCTAAAGGAGGGGTTTGGGATATTGGCAGTTTGGAGGGATATGTTGTGTATCTTTATACGTATATGCTTCTAAACTGTTGTGTTTTGAGCACCTGTGCAAAAACAGTGATTATGTGTGAGTGATGTGAAAGTGTTGAATGATGATGAAAGTATTTTCTTTTTGGGGATCTTCTTTCTTTTTGGGTCACCCTGCCTCGGTGGGAGAAGGCCGACTTGTTAAAAAATATCGCTAAGTGAGGAGAGACTGTATATCAAAGATTATGAGCCTCCTTCAGCTCCTTTATTAAGTTGTGTGTGCGTGTATGTGTATCATAAAGAGAACCCTTGCTACAGCTGGATGCCCAGCAGAGAGAGCCCCAAGCACTAGCAGCCAACAATACCCACAACCCAGCAAACCGCCCCAACGGGATCACCATCTATCCTTGGAAGAATGGCAAGCTCTTAGCATGGGACTATACCTGTATGTCCACACTGGCTGACACCTACATCTATCACAGTGTTGGGCGACAGGGAATAGCTGCTGATCACAGGGAGAAGTACAAGATCAGCAAGTACAGGGACATAAGCCAACAGTATCAATTTGTCCCAGTTGGATCAGAGACCTTGGGATCATGGGGAAAAATGCCACACGTTTCCTTAAAGAATTGGGTTCCAGGACTCATCGAAACCACCAGGGATCCAAGGGCAGCCACTTTCATGTTCCAGCGCCTCAGCATGGCCATCCAGAGGGGAAATGCTTGCTGCATACTTGGCTCGCGTCTGGCTTCGTAGGAGCTGGAGGAGACTCATACCCTTTGATATATTGTACCATTGTATTCTTGTTTGTATTTTCTGGTAATGTATTCTGTTTATTAATAAATTTTCCCACAGAATATAAAATACAGGGGGTGGTAGGAGAAGAAAATTTTCAAACAGCTCCGGGGAGAACCTTGAGTTTTCCCTGAGGTACGTTTATTGTCTTCTCTGAGGATGAGGGTCCCCAGTCCAGTTATAGAGGTGGTACCTCCCTTTAAATATATATACATATATACAGTGGTCCCTCGCTTTTCGTAGTTCTCGGCAATCGTAAATTTCGCCAATCACAGGGGTATTTTCGTATAAACATGGACTCGCTTTTCATAGGTTGACTTGCGAATAGTAGTTCGTCTGGGACGCGTACGCACGGTGTGAGCCGGGGAGGCCTCCCTACCCAACCAGTCTGGCATTGTTTACCAGTGAGTGAAGGTCCCCTCAAGTGCTCCTATGAAATATTTCATAATATTCCACTCATTTTAGTGCTTGCAAGTACTAAGTAAGCTACCATGGCTCCAAAGAAAGCTCCTAGTACCAAGCCTGTGGTAAAGAAGGTGAGAAATGTGTACAGTGACAAAGTCTTGGGCCATTTTAGGGAAGTGTTAAAGAGACACCAGAAACAGAGCTCTCTCCACAGTTACTTTGCGAGACAGGACTAGAGTGACTCTCAAGGTGGTCCTAGTGGCATTAAGAAACAGAGAAGAGAAGCAGCCCCAGAGAAGCAATTGGTACCTGAGGTGTTGCTGGAAGGGGATTCCCCTTCCAAACTGTAAACAATCCAATCTCTCTCCTCCTCCAGTCTCCCATACACTAAGAAAATCTCCAATAAAGGTAAGTGTTTGCTGTTAATGTTTCATTCATCATTTCCCATTGTATTGTTTATGTACTACATGTATATTTCATGTAAAAAATTTTTTTGTTTTAATACTTCTGGGTGTCAGGAACGGATTAATTGTATTTACATTATTTCTTTTGGGGAAAATTGATTCATAAATCGTAAATTTCGTTTATAGTAACGGCTCCAGGAAGGGTGATTAATTACGAAAAACGAGGGACCACTGTATATATATATATATATATATATATATTTATATATATATATATATATATATATATATATATATATATATATATGTATGTAAGCTTTTGCTGTATACATTGTATATTGTGATATAAATGGTTTAGAAAACTGACAAATTCAAGCATGAGTTCCTTGTGCAACATTGGGAATCTTTATTGAGGAAACGCTTCGCCCGCCACTGGCTTCTGTATTGGACTGAATAAGCCACTGGCTGGCAAAACGTTTCTTCAATAAAGATTCCCAAACGTTGCACAGTTGTCTTATTCTTCACATTATATATTGTGTTGTTACAAACATTAACACAAGTTTTCGTTATTATTCGTTTCATTTTTTAATTCAACTAAGCGGCTTTCCTATCTTTACTAACCAATGATTTTATACCATTTTCATCTTCTCCACGTTTATGCATCTTTCCCATATTATAGTCTTTATTTCCTCACTATTTTTCACAGTGAGAGATGTATGTGTATGTCTCTCAGTGTTTATATAATAAGAGATTTTCTTTAATTCCTATTTCATTTCATTTAAGTATTCTTGACTGGTGGTGAACAGGTAACATGCAGCCTTAATGGCCCTTTGAGAAGTCAAATAGACCTCAACACGTTTTCTGTGTTGTGGAAAAATAAACACCAATGAAGTTTAATGCTTGATAAAGCCCACATAGTGGGCTTTATCAAGTCACAAACAGATCTACCTGAGTATATATAGAATGGAAACCCCACACTACATATACATGTACTCATGTACTCTTTACCCAGGCAGATCTGTTTGTAACTTGATAAAGCCCACTGTGTGGGCGAAACGTAGTCAATAAAGGATCGCATTGTACTATATTTGTGTTTATTTTCCCATCGTGTCGGTATTTTATACCTTTTATCTTTTCTGTGTTGTTTTTAGATGCAGTGATCGTCACTCCTCCTCCCTTGGAGAATCCATGTGCAGAGACTGGTATGCAGCCATACGACTACAGCCAGGTCAGTAAGTTTGTAATAATAACCCAGTCAAAGAATCTTAGAATAAGGTCAGATGATTAAGAGGCACGTAAGTTCCCCTGTCTTATAATAACATGTTCATTTTTCCACTATAATCTACCTTGACCATAATTAGTTTCGCATTTACTTTGTCTGCTTTCATAAGGTGAAGTCCAGGATCTTTCCTTAATTCATATGTCCTCAAAGATTTGTTAGTTATACCACCCGTGGCCTGGTGGCAAAAGCTTTCGCTTCACACGGTGAAGGTCCGGGTTCGATTCCTGGCGAAGGGGTGGAAACATAAAACTTGTTTCCTTACACCGGTTGTCTATGTTCACCCATCGGTAAAATGGGTACCTGGATGTTAGTCGACTGGTGTGGGTTGCATCCTGGGATAAAACTGACCTAATTTGCCCGAAATACTCTGCATAACAAGCGACTTTTTATGTAGTAGTATGTCATTGATGTCAGCCAGGCCTGTATACCTTGTACATGTATTTGTAGTAAATAAAGATATCACATTATTATTATTATTATTATTATTATGAATTAAGGAAAGATCCTGGACTTCACCTTACGAAACAGAGAAAGCAAATGCAATAGTAATTATGGACAAGGTAGATTTTAATGAAAAAATGAACGTAAAATGGAAGACGGGGGAACTTACGTGCCCCTTAAGTTTTTCAGTATAGCAGAATTGGTGACTCTCAAACTGCAGTTAAGACGGTGAATCTTTCACTATAGCTAAAGTTAACGAGTCTGATTACAGTCAGGTTGTTGAGGCTTTCAATACTGCCAAGTCAGGGAGGTTTTCACTATATTCAGATAAGTTGGTCACGGGTTTCTGGAAATTCCACCGCATTAAACAAATGATTATCTCTTGGATAAGTATGCCATAAAAAAAAACCACAAGACAACTGCAAAACACCAGGCAAATTTCTTTAACAGTTACATAAGTTCAATAGATTTTCCTCATTTTTATTCTCTATGTTTTTTTCCCTACATTTTCCATGTTGTTTATTCTCAAATCTGTCTCGTATATGATTTGTTGAACAGCTTATTGTTTATTCATCTCTAACTTCTCCAGGTCCCACCTCTTCTAGCTTTGTTTTTTCCCTAATACAACCTCTCCTCACTTAGTGACATACTCGTTTACCGACGACGGGCTCTGTGACCAGTATACATATGTACCTAAATAATGTATATTAGAGCTGATTTCCTCTATTTTGTTTATTACAATGTACAGTACAGTACTGTATAAACATAAAAATATATCAGAAATGTTTTAACTGGTGCAAAGGTGATATTAAAACAGTATCAATGATGACTCACAGACCCACTTCCATTATAGTATGCTCCTCACTTATGGACGAATTCGCTTACCGACGTGGTCTTAGGAACGGAACTCTGTCGATAACTGAGCAGACGCTGTATTTCCATCATTGTTTGCTGCTACGCCTTGCCTTAGGTCTCTTCTTGATCCTCAGGTACTGTGCATGTCGTACTTGTTCTACGAGGCTCAGCGGTCAGGCAAGCTGCCTGCTGATCAACGAATCACTTGGCGTGGAGACTCGGCTCTTGATGACGGCTCTGATGTTGGTCATGACCTTAGTGGTGGCTACTATGATGGTAAGACGAGAGAGAGAGAGAGAAACGTAGATAAGTAAGACCCATGTTGATAAATCAGACACATGTATAACACTGGGTATCTTTATTAAATAACAAAAAAAGGCACAATACCGTGACTGGAACGATACACAAATAACCCGCACATAGAAGAGAGGAGCTTGCGACGACTTTTCGGTCCGACTTGGACCATTTAAACCATACCACGGGCGGGATTGAACCCGCGGTCAGAGAGTCTCAAAACTCCAGACCGTCGCATTACCCTCTGGAGTTTTGAGACTCTCTGACCGCGGGTTCAATCCCGCCCGTGGTATGGTTTGTTTGCAATCGTGTCATTACGATTTTGTGAGTCATGTGGACCATTTACAAAGTCACACTAACGAGAAGTAGAGCAGGACGGGTATATATAGGCAGGAAGAGGTAGTGGTAGTAGTAGTAGTAATAGTAGTAGTAGTAGTAGTAGTAGTGGCGGAGATGGAAGGAAGTAGTAATGGGGAAGTAAGGAGGAGGAGCCAGTCAAATACAAAGAAAGGGGAGCACTGCAAGGGAGCTAGGTGCCCACAGAGGGAGAGCAAGAACACAGAGGTGGGGGGAGGGGAAAATAATGAAATAATAAAGAAGGAACAGAAACAAGACAGAAGAAAGAAAGACAACCCAGAAGAGAAAAAAGGAAAGAGGAAAAGGGAAGAGAGAGAAGAAGAAAAAAGGAGGAATCAGGTTAATTCACGGGTGTTCTGAAGTCTGGAGCATTTTACAATGTAGTGGGAGAGGAAGGCATCTACAGAGACGAAGCCACGACTAAGATTCATACAAGGAAAGTTGTGTATTAGGGAGGATTCAACAAGACTGTTAAAGTCGGACCGAAACGTCGTCGTAAGCTCCTCTCTTCTATGTGTGGGTTATTTGGGTATCTTCATTGTGGAAACATTTCACCACACAATGGACTTGCGGGTTATTTGTGTATATTTGGGTTTCTTTATTGTTGAGATGTTTTGCCATCAATGGCTTTATCCAAAACAGAGAATAATTACTGATGATGTTGGAAGATTTGAAGTCATTTTTTGAGGTATTCAGTCCCTCAGCCTTGATTAATAATCTTCTTGATTTTGTTTACTGTTAATAATCATCTTTAATGAATTCAGGTAAATGCGCAAAACCAAAGAAAAAACTTAGATAATGGTAAATGATAAGAACTGAAAATTTTTTTCACATGTGGTAATAATGGTAGAATTACCGACAATATGTTAAGTAAAGGACAAATTATGCGACAGTGCTGCACCACCTCCTGAAAAGGACACGATGAATATTTTTTTATATATATCTTTTTCGTATAATTTTATATTGATGTTTTCATTAATAGCTAAAGTGCTTTCTATTATTATTTGACTTGTATTATTAGCTTATGTATGTAGATATGAAGTAACAACTACACCTCTTATTGTGTTCGTTGCTGGAGAGTGTTGATTGGCTGCCAGCACTCTGCAAGCTACCTGCCCACTTGTTTAGTACTTTGTGTCAGACACAAGCTGGTGTCACACTTGATATTGGAGTTGTTGGTCCTGCCTTGCCCTCTCTCTCTCTCACTCTCTCTCTCTCTCACTGTTGTTCATCGAGGAAACATCTCCTCTCTCTATTCTGTCAGCATGTGTAATTTAGACTGTTTTTGGCAGAGTATGTCTCCTTTGGTGAGCAAGAACGTACTTCTCGTAACTCTGTTCACAGAGCATTATTTAGACTTAGTGGTATTTGACGTTTTCAGAGGTTGTGTCGGGAGTTAATTTAATACCTTTATTATGCATCCCATATCCATCCTATGGTGGTAGTCAAAAGATTACAGAGGTACATAATGGGTCCAGGGACTGGGCCCCAAAGTTTGATAGCTGAGCAAGTTACAAAGGTAATGAAGTCACAAGTTACAAAGGCGAGACATTTTTTATATCTCTGGTCTTAAGTTCAACTCTCGACCCACATTGTTCTGGCATCTACGCACTGTTGTAGTCGGGGATTTTGAATTGCTGAACATTGTTTCAGTAACAAGGAAGTTTTATGCTTCTGTGGAGGATCTGAAGGTCCACAGTTTAGGTTCTTTTTGGTCTCCTTGTTCCTTGTCTGATGCTGTGCTGTTCTCTGCTGCTTGCCGAATGGGCCATCATATGATTCATGCAAGCTGTTTGAGAGCCTTGATGTCTGAGAAATTAGTTTATCTAGGAGCTTGAATCGAGTCTTACTAAGTCACATTCGAGTATTACCGAGTGTGCACACACGTACACATACTTATATTACTCTCATATTAATGAGTGAATCAGGTAATATGTACCTGAATGAGCATATTAAGGGTATTAAAGTATGCAGTATTTTTAATGTGCTCTTTGCACCGTATGTTTATATGTACAGATGAAGAATAAGTATTCCAAAGTGTAATAAGATATACAAGATCTGTTTAGGAGCTTATCTCTTTTGCTATTCGATTTACAGTAACTGTAAAGAGCATCACATAGACACATTCGTTGTTAAAGATCTCGGTATTTATTCAGTTGGTTTATATTTTTCAGTTGTAATCCCAAAGCACTATTGAGAATCTATGAGTTGTTAGATAACTGGACTAGAATTAAATGACAAATTGTTACGAAACCAGAAACAAGCTAGATATTTGAGGGTGATCACTAAGTTGACCTTCTAGTAGCCTCTGGAGATGTCTATACTTTATAGATGTTGCATCTTGTAAACTACAGCTTGACAAAGCCCCTGGAGAGCGAAACTTTCACAATAGAATGTCACACAGTTGCACTTGTGTCCTTTTACCTAACACTTTTCACATTACCATACAAACAACCTCAGTTTGTAGCACCTCACTCACACATTGCATGTCCATGGTTCGATCCCTTTTGATAAAACATCGGGGCTTTTTCCTTTAAAGGGGACACCTCTGTCCATGTTCACCTAGCAATAAATGGACCTGGGTTTAGTCGACGGGTGTGGGTCCATCCTGGGGAAAAAATTAACCTAATTTACCCAAAGCTCTGCATAACAAGGGGCTTTCTATAAGTATATCAGTGTTATCAGCTTGGTCGTATAAGTTGTATCATGTACTTGTAAAAATGATAAAATTATTATTCTTATTTACAGCTGGTGACAGAGTCAAGTTTGGCCCCGAGTTTCACCCCCACTATGTTGGTTGGGCCTCTGACTTCGCGAAGGAACAAATTGCGGGTGATTGAACGCGTGTTTTTGTCCCAAATGAATATCAGGGGTAAATATCCCGACAACAAAAAAAAAAAAACTGTGGTTTAGGCATTTTTATTGAAGACGTTTCCCCCCACAGGGACGAATTAAGAAGTTCCTAGTGGACGCTTCTCAAAATTTTCTTTGACTGTAAGCCTTATTTTTTAAAACCCTAAATTTTCCCCTGTTGGGTAAAGAAATTTCACTCATTCTTTAAATTACCATACCCAGTACCGTTTTTTTTTTTTATAAAATCTTGGTGAAAATTTTTAAATGGCTCCATAAACGTAGGGGTTCTGCTTTTCCCATCATTCCACAGTAAACAATAGCGCCAGTAAAGCTTATCATGACCCCCCAAAAATCTCCCAGACTCAAAAACCTTATTATTTTAAAGAATCAAAGGCACAATACCGTGACTGAAAAATACACAAATACCCAACATCGAAAAAGAAGTGTGTGTGGATTGTGTATTTTTTTTAAATTATAAAAATTCGTGAAGGGTAAATCCATGGGTCATCCCTCGCCCGGGTTAGAACTTTTTCATTTTGGATAAGGTTTAATAATTTTTTTGGTTTACCCCACAGGCAGCTGAGTACGGTCAAGTAGGAGTCAAGGGGGCCCAGACTACTTCCTGAAAGTTTACACACCAAAGAATGATTTCTACGGTCAGGTCAGCACCCCTTTCACTGCAGTTTACAAACTCCTTATGTACAGACAGTTAAGAAAGATTTACAGCATGGGGACGAAATGATTTGTTGATTTTTTGGGAAACTTGGGAAATACATACTGACTGATTGTAATATAAAAGCAAGCAAACTAAGAAAAGCTTCGGCCGGGAAACTTTTTCAAGGCCCAAAGGACCGAAACTTTTCGGAAAAATAAAAGTCTAATACAGTAAAAGATACATAGGAGAAAGTAGCGGAGTAAGAAGAAAAAAGGGAAGCACAACTAAGTATCAGAAAGACAAAAGAAATACTAAGAAAAACGATGCAAATAATAAATTTAAACAATACATACAATATCAACAATGCTGCATTTAAAGGGGGGGTTTGGATATGGCATTTTTGGAGGGATATTTGTGTATTTTTATATTGTATGCTTCTAGACTGTTGTATTCTGAGCACCTCTGCAAAAAACATGATAATGGGAGTGTGGTGAAAGTGTTAAATGATGTTTTGAAAGTTTTTTCTTTTGGGGATTTTTTTTTTTTTTTGGGTCACCCTGCCCGGGGGGAGAGGGCCCGACTTGTTGAAAAAAAAAAAAAAAAAAAACAATATAAAAAAATTTTAAAAAGTTAAATTTCATAAATAACTCGCACATAAAACAATCGAGTTTCAGACCTCGGGGCCCAAAGTTCATGGCACACTTCTGGCTAGTTGAAAATTTTTTCTTTTCGGGGAAAAGGAGACTAGATCAAATAGAACGCGGTCCCCTGAGGACATACCAGGAGAGACCTTCCTAAAAAATCACAGAACACCGGGTTATAGTCGGGGCTTTTTTAGTTGTGTAAAAATTCGTGATTTTCCTTTGTTACATATTAATCATCTTTGGGTTGAGTGAGAATTTATTGGGCAAATAAGAGCTTCATAGAGTGATTTAGGAATTTCTCCACACCAGAGGTCCGGGGATCGTCCCGGGAGGGTTGGAAAACATAGGAGTTTTTTTTCCTTAAGACACCTGCTGTCCTTGTCACCTAGCATAAAATAGGTACCTGGGGTTTTAGGGAGGGTGGGGTCAAATCCTGGACAAAACTATTTAATTTGCCCGAAATGTCTGCATAA